GAAACCAGACACATAATTTAATAGTTATTATTCAAATAAAACTACAATGTTCTCTTAGAACACGTATAGTTAAGTATTTAAGAAAGAACTAAGTAGAGCAACAGAGTATTGTTTAATTAAATCTTTTAATTCAGAGATTAAAGGATCAAAGAGATGCAAAATAGGATTATGCTACATCATAGGCTCATCTTTGTGATGCTAAGGGACATAGTTAAATGCTTGAGTTGCTTGGTTTTCTTTTTATATTATTTTTATAAAGGCTCCTAATTCAAAAGTTGCATTATACATCCCCCAAGTCTAAATTAAGCTAAATATGGTTTAAATCCTATCATGCCATTAAAAAGCTCTCTTATACTTCATAAACATTCAATGCTAAGTATTTTCCAGTCTAATTATCCCCATGTACATTAGTATTTACATACAATTCAATTTGTAATGAATGTACATAGAAAACTACGCAACAGAAAAAGCAAATACCAACTGGTCAGAAACATGCATCTGCCTGAATAAGCTGTTTCAATGCAGAATTTTACAGGTTTGGAAAAACATTTTAAGTACAGGAGCCAGTCAGTCTTTCAAATACTTGAGCTCAACCACAAAAACCTACCAAGGTACCTTGAACTGTCCTCTATTAGCCAAATACACAATCTGGAAGTGGCAAATGGAGCCTAGCTGTTCTGTGGTGCATTCTTTATAGTCAAGGATGGGCCCGAAACTTACAAATCCTAGCTCTTCTGGCAGAACGTTAAAGCTGCTGCTGCTGCTGAGAAAGTGAGCCATTGTGAGAAAGGGGAAGGGAATAACATAGAAGGCGCTCAAGCTGTGAAAAAAGAGGGTTCTACTCATAGCCAGCTCAAGATGCATGTTGAGCTTTGCTTGCTTGACCATCCCAATTTGCAACAATTTAAACAAGGATGATGACTTTTACAAGTGTGTCCCTGTTCTGTTTCTTACAAATTGCTGGCAACCAGAATCAGAGTTAAGGTAGGTGGAGGTCAGAGATTAATGTGTATGCAGAATGTAGAAAAATATGCAGCTTTATTTCTAAATTACTCAATAGTAAATGCTCTCAGGGTTGTTCATAAAACTTACAAAACAAAAGCATAATATAAAAAACCAAATCTTAAAACAATTGAAGACTATTAAAAGCAATTACACTAAGATCATGAAACCTGATTAAAAAATTGTCATTAAAATCCTATCACATACTGTCAAGTCCAGGTTAGTAGAGGAGAGTCTTAATCTGATGCCTGATGAACTTAAGTGAGAAGGTCAGTCTACCATCAGAGCATTACCTTCAAGAAGGACCTTCCTTCATCAGCTTTCTCTGGAAGTCCTGCAGAGAAAGCACTTGAACGAAGGCCTTTGAGGACAAGCATGGTGTTCAGGCAGGCTCACCGTAAGAAAGGTGCTCCATCAAGGGTTGCAGTTTTACTCTGAGTAGGGCTTCAGAAGTCAAAATCAGCATCCTGAATTGGACTTGTCAACAGCTATCCAGTACAAGTGGATCAGTACTGATGTTACAAGTTAGTTCGGATGTTATAAGTTCAGACCCCCGGTCTCTTCTGTCAATCTAGCCATAGCATTTTTCACAAATTGCAGTTTTTAAGCCTTCTTCAATGAGAGAATACAATAATCTAACTTGAGATGGGAAAAACCATCCATGCACTAACTCACACCTGGCTTTACGGAACACTGGCAAGAAGAAAGCCATTGCCAGAACAAACCCACAACAAAGGCCATTTGGGGTTGGCAAAAATGCATGTGTGATACACAGCAAAAGACAGATTGCTTACCTGTAACCATCGTTTTTCGAGTGGTCATTTGTGCATTCACACACATATGGGCTTAAGTGACAGTGGAAGGCCTAGGTCAGAAGAAACATCTACAGCTCAGTGTCAAGGAGTGGGCGGGGTTGCCCATCCCCTCTGGAGTCTGGCTATAAAGGGAGAGGGCTCCATTCAGACCCTCAGTGCCTTGGAGTACACTATCCCCAGGCAATTGAACAGGCAGAGACATACGTAAGTGCAGTGGTGCGGCAGCTCATGACAGCTAGCAGGGAGGAGGGTGGGTTGTGTGACTGTGCAGATGACCACTCGAGGAATGACGGTTATGGGTAAGCCACCTGTCTTTCTTCATTGTGGTCTCTGTGCATCACACACACATGAGCGATTGGCAAGCTTACCCCCCTCCCCTGGAGGATGCAAGGGCTCTTGTGGGAGGGGAGTGCCAGGCTCGGAGCTGTGGCCATAATCAACTCGGCCAAGGCCAGGGATGGAAGGGGTTGCAGCTAGTTAGTTATGACTTTGGAGTGGGCGAGGCAGTAGTGCCTGCAAGTGGGCTGATGGCACTTTACCTCTGACCATGCTAGGAACTATGCCCCCAGAGGAAGGCACAGTCTGTGGACCAGAAAGTGGTCAGGGGAGTGGCAGGGCTGGAACTGATCAAAGGAGCACTCACAGAATCTCTGTAGGTGGCCAAATCCTGTGCATCTAGCCATGGTCTGGATCTGTGAAGACGGTTCAAACTGTCATCTGCAAGAGCACTACAAAGTCCCTGCCTGTTAGGAGCATCCCATTGGCATGCCCCTTTGCCCCGGAGGGGCTTGCAGCATGCAGCCATGTGTGAAAAAGTGTGGCCACTGGACCAATCCAAGCTTCACCATTGCAGTTGATCTGGTGCACGGTGACCTAGATTTGTTGATTGGGCCCTGAGTAGCTAGACCTGAGCCGACAAGGTGGGCTGTCTCAGGGGGTCATCGCGGAGATGCCATGGGCCGTGGCGGTGTTGGGTGGCAGACTCTGGCAGCTGCTGGCCTGTCAGGCATCTTTCCAGTGACCGATGGTCTATGGTCGCATTAAGTCTTATGGACCATCTTCCTGGCCCTCCTCTGCAGTCAAGGGTGTCCCCGATATTCCAGTGGAGGGCCGGTCAGCCATTAGAAAGAAAAAGAAAGGAGCAAGATTTTTTTAAAATATGAGAGAGAGAGAAGAAAGGAACAAGAAGCGAGTCCGATGTAAGTATGTGTGGTCGAAAAGGAACTGGGGGACAGGGTGGGGACCCTTCCCTTATAGCCAGACTCCAGAGGGGATGGGCAGCCCTGCCCACTGCATGACATTGAGCTGCAGAAGTTTCTTCTGACCTAGGCCTTCCGCTGCCACTTAAGCCCATATGTGTGTGATGCACAGACACCACAATGAAGAACATGCACAAATGGTTCTCTGGTCAAATGAGATCAAAACCAAAATTTGCAAAACACCATGTGTGGTGCAAAGATAACAGTGCTCATTGCTTTGACAACAGCATTCCTATGATGGTCATGTTCTAGCAGAGGTTTTTCCTTGAAAGGCCTGGAAAATTGGTCAAGATTTCAGGTAAGGTAGATGGTGACAAATACAGGACAGAGGAGAACCTGTTTCAATCTGCAAAGAATCTGGATCTTGGAAGAGGGTCACCTTCCCAAAGCACAAAGCCAACAAGGTCGTTAAAAAAACCTCCTGAATGTCTTAGAATGGCCTAGTCAAAGATGGGACCTCGACCTGACGGAGGATCTGTGCCAAGCCTTCGAAGTTGCTGTTCACCAACAGCCCCCGTCCAATTTGACAGAGCTAGAGCAGTTCCTCCAAGAAGAATGGGCAAACACTGCAGGATTCACATATACAAGGTTGACAGAGACCTATCCAAGAAGTCCTGCAGCTGTAATTGCAGCCAAAGGTGCTTCTACCAAGTAGTGAATCAGGGTGTTGAATACTTAAGAACCAACAAGTTCCAATTTGTTTCTGCTGACTCAGCTTTATTCTGTGCCACAATAAAATTATTTTGTACCTTCACAATGTTGAGTAACCTGTGTATATCAAGTGGAATCACTGCCAATTAATTTAATTTCAATTTCAGGTTACAACACAACAAAATGTGAATTATATTTTTCTGCCCCCTCAGGAAATGATCCCTTTTAACTGAAGCTCATTTGAAAGCTAAAGAGCGGAACAGATTCAGTTTTGGAGAAAGGTCTAGTTCTCTGGAACAGAGGCACTTCAAGTGCTAAGATGAAGAAAAAGCACATACACTGAAAAATGGATATTAGTATACCAATAAAAGAAAACAATTCTGGTGAAACAATGAAGAATTCTGTTTATTTCACTCAGTTACATGTGGCCTCACTGAAAACTTTTGATTTGCTCGGATATGAGAGCATAGTCTGTGCCCTCAGTCAGAGCTGCAGTTCACCAAATTTACCTGAGGCAGCAGGAAAAAGCAGACTTCAAAGGGTGTTCCAACTGTTCAGCTAGAGTCCTTTTCTCTGCTGAGCTGGCTACAAGTTTCAGCATTCCCAATGAGAACAAAGTACTATTTTCACTGACAGAGAGGTGAAACAGCATGTGAGATGGAGAGGAGGGGGCAGTAACAGTGAAGGTGGGTAGAATGTTTCATTATACTGAGCAATGAACACGCATGTGTGAAATGGCCCTTATCTGAGATGAGGTGATAAACCAAGTATTATTTAATTTTATTATTTTCTGTTACTTCCCTTGACAGCTTGGCAAGCAAGCAGTAATTTGAGCCCAGCTTTGGGTATAATAAACCAGTAGCTTCTGGTGTAAAACTATTCATTACATAAAATGAAGTCACAATCATTTGAACAGGGTTCTGCAAGGGAGATTTCTATCTTCTACTTTGAGTGATTATAAACAGGAATTTTATAAAGCCAGAATACTCCTGACAAAAGCAACACAACCAACTCAAAATCATGAGACCGCCAAAGCCCTAAGACATAAAAATGTATCGGCAGATTCCAAATATGGAGGACCACATTGCCAAACTTCTATCAGCAGGTTATTTCACAACAAAGGTACTACAATTTCAAAGGTGCTGCTCATGATAAGCAAAGCCTCAGAAGGCCCCAAGGAAATTTATGCATGTACTTGAGAGATGTATATGAAATCAAAGGTTGCCTTGAGTCACATCCACGCTCAAGAGTGTATTTTTTTAGAACTGCTTACCTCATTGTCTGATTCCACAAGCACTTGATCATATTCACTAAGGGCAACTAGAAACATAATGGAGGTGACATTTTCAAAACAGTGAATCCATTTTCTTCGTTCTGATCGCTGCCCCCCAACATCCACCATTCTGAAATATTAGCAAAGACAAAACAAAGCAAACATGAAACAAGAGACAAAAAATGAAGATATAAAACAGACAAACTTAGCTACAATTATATTATTTACATTCTTCAATAAATCTGAATGAGAACAGGATCTGTCAACTATGCATTGATATGCTATTCACATTTTAAAAGAAAATAGGTATAAAGTCTGCTTTTTGAGTGAGCAACAAGAAAAAAATCCTATCAGTGAGGCATCCAGACTGTGGTAATCCAAAGAACTTGAAGAGAACAGCAATGATATAATTCCAAAGTCAGTCACCGAGTCAGTCTTATGATTTTAAGGAATCTAAACATTAATATTTTGTCCACCTGTGGAAACTGTTTAGTCTAGAGAAATATTTGGCACCAGATACTGGCACCTATATTGTATGGTCTTGAGATACCTTTTAGATTTATACAAGTTCCTGGCAACTAATATGATTATACAAAGCTTGGGGGACTGTGTATAGCTTGGGAACTTGGGAAAGTCCACACACTGTCCACAGCATGGCTGATACACATGTAATGCTACAAGGATGGGCCTATGTGAGCCTGGGGAATGCATGTTTCTCCTCTGATGTATCCACAAAGAACGATATCAACAGCTTCTGCATTAAGCTTCTTAATTAACCATGGCTTAGCATTACATCTGAACTCCAAACTGTGGTAAACTACACAGTGGCATTTATATCTGAAATCTGAACTGTGGTAAACAAGTCAGCTTCATAAACTTCAGTTTAAGGTTGGCTTGTTTTAGTAAAGTATAACTAAGACTAACAGATATTTGAGTGCAGATATCTTGCCAACTTGCAGTTAGCAAGAAATGCAAGCTTCTGAACTCCTCTTTGCTGCAGCACTAGAGAAGAAGGGATAAGACAGAACCTAATTTTTTGTTGTGTGTGAACACGGCAACAGAGATGGTTCAAAACGATGAACAAATTATGAAATATTATTTTAAAAAAGAGATAGCTAACAATTCAAATGCAGTTTATTATGGATACATTTGCCAAATAAGAGTTTTGTTTCCTAGACTATGCTTCATATAGAAATTAAAGAATGATTTCTACAAATGCTATGTGATTTAGAATGGCTAACATGTTCAATTAAAATTTCATTTTTCATTGAGAATTGTTAGCATACCATGTATCACTTAACAAGAGACTTATTTATTGCTTTAGTTCAGGTGAAAAGTAAAAGAAAGCTTTTTCTAAAAGATTTAAAATACACATTACAACTAATTAAAATATTCAAAGATAGAGCTTTCTGCTTGACAAGGTAAACAGTCTGTTTTCTTTCAAACATATTAGGGAATATTTCGAAGCATTTTAAATAGGGACAACTAAGGACAGAATAATAAGGTTGTAAAACACATGCAATTCACTAATTAAAGGTTTTCTTTTAAAAATTTATTCTTTAAAAACAAAAGATGAGGCAGAATGTTCAGAAGGATTTTATATTAGTAGCTGGTTAATGGCTGCAATTTATTACATACATTTGCAATTATGTGTGTGAAAAAACAGCTTGTCATTAGAAATAGGCACTCATACTCAATTCATATTGTATTCATAAATGAACAAAAATAAAAGTTAGCTCATTTCTTTCACTGAGGTTAAACAAGCAACAAATCAGACTTCCTTCTCTTCCCTACTCTTCAATGGTGTCAATCATGAGAGAATTCATACTGAACTGAAAGATCTCAGGGTGGACTTTGTACCCAGTACAGAAATTACTACTTTCCTTAAAAAAGGAGTGGAGGGGAAAACCTCTTCCAAATTTGAATTTTCTAGTGATGAAAATCTGTTCGATTTTTTCAATTGCTCTCATTCTATATTTTAAGAGAAATCTCACAGGTACCATGTGGTTTCTTGCCATTACTTTACTTACCAGGTAGATGAAGGTGCACATAAGTGTTTTATTTTCACTACACAATCATTCCACTGGCAGTCAGCAGCTTCCCTGGCTTCATTCGCTTTAATTAAACTTCATATTGATACATCAGAGTCTAATTCTTCCTTTTTCAGATTAAGAACTGTGGGCAGCCGGAATGGCTGCAGAGCAATAGAGATGTATAATAGAAAGGGCCCCACCCCTCACATCACAGTTACAATAATAAGGTAACCTCAGAAAGACAAATAAAAGAAATACTAAAACAGCCTAAGAATGGGGCAGAAAATCAGAAGTCTCTTTCACCAGAAAGCAAAACTTTTGAAAAACTGGAGGGCAGATTTTGGCACAGCACAAGTATTTTTTCTATTGCCACATTTGACTGTATTTTACACAGCTGAGTAAAACACATAAATAATGAAATACGTAAGAATGAAACACTGAAAAAAGTATTTGTTTCTACCTGAAAATTACACTTTGCAGGTCAAATGGATATTCAATTATTCCTGTAGTTGGAACTCGAACTCTAAGCACATCTTGTTGGGTGGGCAGGTAGCCAGAATCTGCTATACGGTCCAAATCATTAAGATAACTGTAGACAAGAAAGAAATAACAGGAATGAAAACAGGGAGACTATAATCCAGTTGAAGGAAGGAACACTCTGAAGACAAAGGAAGATAGCATATGAATGGGTTAATTTAACAATGTAATGCAATAATACTGATTCTTGAAAAACTGTTGAGAACTGTTGGCACCAAGATATGAAGAATTTGTATAATTTGTTTTTTTTTTATTTTTACCAGTTGTAACTAAAATTGTCCCAAATAAATGAGTGTTCAAAATCTCAAAAATGTCACAGCCAATTTAACTTTCACCATGAAGTGTGGGGTATTGAACAAAGTATTCAACATTGGCGTACATAAAATGAAAATTGGGCCAGAGTGCTCACTGCAGTATCTAGACTGCATGATCATCTTGCACAGCATGTATTGATTCTCCTGTATGGCAAAGATCTCTGGTCGAAGTTTTTAATAGGCATGGTATGTTTCACAGGTACATAACTAGAAATAAGTTAAGAAATAATATTCTATTAAAATAAGGTCTTTAAAAAGAGAACTGAAGTTGGGAGATATTGTCATCATAACTGCACCTTTCTTTCAGTATATCCTGATAAAATGAAACCCTTGTGGAAAAAATGGATGAAAACAGAAACTCTTTCCAGGCAGCTGGTCACAACTTACAGCACCCATCATGACCCACATTAAATTAATCAGGGTAGAGGGGTAGGAAGAATTACTCAATGTGTTAATTCTGTGAATATATTCCACTGTGTTTTCAGTGTATTTTTTCAAGTACTGACACTTGAAACTAATACAAGTTTTTATTTTTCTACTAATAATTCTGGCACGGGCAGTGAGGTGGCTGAGTTGATTCTAAAAAGGACCAAGTCCAAAATGTGTAGATATGTGTAGCCCTGACTGAATTCCACTTCAACCAACCCATTAAGACCTGGCAGCAGCACCTGGCATATGTGGGCAACTGCTGTGGTCCATTTGTCCTGCCAGGGTTTACCTAGACTGACCCCACATTACCTGGGGGTTTGCAACTGTGGCTAAAAGTACTAGGCATCCCTTGGGCCCTTAGCACTTGTAAGTACTTGCTCAGGCAATACTGTAGGTATGGGCCTGGATCTACTGGATTTACTTGGCATGGATGCTGGTGGGATACAAGCGGTTCCTTAATCTACTCAGCATGTGGTCACCATATGCACTCACACAATTAAGTAATGAGGCACACAGCTCCCAATAATTTTGCACCATGCTAGTAAGCCAGACTGGAATGCTGGGGACTGCAGTGCCACCAAGGGGCCCAAGTGGTAGTTGGAGCCAAAGTCAGGGGTGAAGGAAGCAGGGACTCGGGGATGAAAGCAGTCATTGGCACTGGGGACCATCAACAGCACTGTGTTAAGAGCCTACATACGTCTCATCCAGTGCAGATGTAACACTATCCAACTGCTTAATCATCCAGGAAGCAGACATTCCTGCAGGCTCACATGCTCCCCTCCCTTCATGCATCCTTCTGTTTTATCTTCTGAGGTAACAAGTATTAACATTGCATCTGCACCAACATTTACTTGAACCGGAAATAGCTTAATCCATAGTTTGCAAACCCACTTCTAAACTTGGTTAAGACAGTGTGGACCATGATTAGAAGATTGGGCATTCAGTGAGGCACAGACAGGAAGTCTAACATTTCCTGGAAGATATTTAATATTATTCATACCACTGGTGATCTTCTGCCTGCAGTGCACCAACCCCTGCTCTTTAGCAATGTGCCTAGCTCAGCTTGAGCCTATTCCCTTGCCCATATTTCTTAACCACTTGTCTTCAATATTCAAGGCAGTGCATAAAGATTCAAGTAAACTATTCACACAAACATATAAATACAGTATAACAACACAGTAAATAACCATAATAAAATATGACCTGTTAAGCAAGATACCAAAACAAGAACACAATTTCTTCTAGAACGCCCATGCAAATATGAAGCAAGTCGTGTTGGTGACAGTCAGTCCTCTTTGGGAAGAGCATTCCAAAATGCTCCTTTAGATATTTGGGCCCAAGCTATTCAGGGATTTAAGTGGCACTTTAAAGTTGGCTCAGAGGAAGCAGCTCTAATATGAATAGCTTTAGTGAAGCAGTAAAATTCTGGCAACCAAGTTCTGTATTAGCTGAAACTTCTAGGTTTCCTTAAGTGTAAGTAATTAATAGGGATAAGAAGATTGGTAAAAATCAACAATATAAAAAGTTGAAAAGCATGCAGATACTATGCAAGGCAAGGAATGCTAACAGAAGTGTACAATTCTAACCAAACACATTTTTCAACATACATCAGTAGTCTAATATGTAAATAGGTTTACAAAACACACACACACACACACACCTCTTATCCCAAGCTTTTCACACATATTCATAACGTATATATTACAGTATCTCCATCGATTTAGGCATATAATCACCGTCTATGCCAAACCAAGAATACGATAAATACATGTGCATGCACACATGCATATACACTGCAAATAAAAGGAGTCAGGTCAGCAGTATATTTTGAAGAATGCATCAAGCCAACAATGCATTGAGACAATTCAGTGGACACGAAGTCCTGAGTTAGCCTTTCAAATGGTCATGATTACTCAAATCCCCCGGGACAAGTATATTCCAACACCATAGTCAAAATCACATCGGCTTAGGGTGATTAGCGGACACTGGGATATCCTGTACACCTGCAGAATCCCCACTCTGTTTCTCTAGTCCAGCAAAAGGAACACAAAATCAAACCCAGAGCTTGGGAAAACTGGTTTTCTCCAAGTGAAGAAGATGGATTTGTGCTGATCTACGACTGTAATATATGCACTTATTTATGGAAAATGTGTTCCTTACAGCTGACAGCAACCCTCTGTCATCAGCCTTCTACCCTAGGCTGGTATTGTATGGCATATTTGGGTACATGAAGCTGGGGTAGATTAACTCCATCCAGTTCATTCAATCCAGATTAATACATTATGAATATGGATTATTCCTGCCCATCATAATCAATTGCAATGATTGTGCTATTCTCATAATGAACGTCCAAATGATCCTGTTCATATGTGATCTCACCCAACTGTCAAACATAGGTGTGTATACAGGATAGTTCCTGCCTGTTAGATTATATCACTGCAAGCTAAATTTATCTCCAAGCAACTACAAAGTTTGATGTATAAGGAAAAGTCTCATTATTAAATTTTAAGTACCATTAAATTTTAAACCAGCAAAACTTTTTAAAGAATGGGTTTGTTAGCTGTCAGTGGCTCATTTGAAATGAATATATATTTTTAATCAATTAAACTTATCTTAAGAATACCAGGTCTATTTACCAAAACAGAAACACAATTTATTATGCATTTTCCATTGCTAAACTCACTATAAAATTCCTGGATTTGAAAATGATATAAAACAACATGCACATGGGTGTGAGTGTGGAAGTGTAGAATGGAGCTGAAAAATGTTATTGGCCCTTAGAGGATTTGGATGCCAAAATTATGCTATTTGGCATAAAAAGTTTGGCCGGTGAAGAAATCTGTTAAGTTAGGAGACATCTAAAAAGTGCTTGCTTGAGCAGACAGCATGCACAGTTCCAGTTAAGTTTCTTTCAGTCCACACTGGCCATCTGTACTCCCTCCCTCTCACACTGCAGTCCCAGGACAGCATTTAGAAATCCTTGATCTATGCACCTCTGTTCATAGCTTCACATTCCTTCTCTGTGTTCCACAGCACCTTGTCCTGACTGATTAGATGTGTTCATACATGATCAAAGGTAACTTAACAATGGACTAATGAAGCTAGCAGTAAGTAAGGAAAGGCCTAATGAGTGGGGCCTTTTGCACAATGGAGGATAAATAATGATGTCTGACTTGCTTTTGGGTTAGCTTCATGTTTCAAAGTCAGGCACAACATATTCCTCCTGTCAGTTCACCATGAAAAGCCAGATGCAGAGCCCAGTACACAATTTGGCATCCTAGAAAATACCAGATTTCATTTTAGTTTTCATTCTTGCCAAGGTGGGAGGGTGGGGGTTAGAGTGAAGAGGTGGGTGGTGGTGGAGAGAAACTGAGAAGTCAGACACCCAGACACAATCACCACTGTCAGATGGGTTGATGAATACAGAGCTCTTTAGCTCTATTACACTCAGTCAAATCCTTCCTGTAGTATAAAGTTCTGCCTTCAAAAATTATGATACTTTTAGGGTGATATCCTTTCTTTATGAAGACTTTCTGACAAAGTGCCTCTGAGTATATGCAGCAAGCTTCTCCTCGGAGGAAGCAACTTTTTCAGGAGCAGCTCCAAAGGGAGGAAGTATGTTCCTGACAATAAGCTTTCTTTCCATACCCAATACTGCTGCTGAGCCCCTGGGCTTACTTGAAGGAAAGTCACTTTCTCGGCTTACATATATGAGAGCACAGAGCTTGCCCCAGCACTTACTTCTTTCAGTGACAGAACTGGAGTGGGAAAGAGAGCTTTTGAGATGGAAGAGAGCTGGTAACAGTATTGCTTTCAAGCCACGGACATTCAGCTAAACAGACACTAGTTTAACAGAGATGCTATAACCACAGCCAAAATTGTTTACAGGGCAAGAACTAGAAATTTTTACTGAGGAGTAAATCCGAGCTTTTTCAGTGTTGCTCATCCCCTGTTAAGTGTGGATAACATTTCAACCTTAGGGCCTTTACCATGATACAAAGGAATAATTTGAAATGCTATTACACAGAAAATGTTTAGAAAGAAAGCCTTATGATGAAATACACCTTTATTTATCCTTCAGATGCCTTAAATGCAGGACGCAGCTCTCCCACTCCAAAGTGCACTCTGAAGCCACTTTCATTTTGGCACCATCACTGAGCTTTTGCAAGGGTAGAGTGCTTGCATTCTTTCATACCCCACCATTCTGTCAAGTGTTGTATTTGTCAGCTTACCTAATTTGGCCTCAGTGCAACCCTTGTGAGGCACAGTGGGCCAAAGGAATGTAACCAGTCATACACTGGGCTTCACA